TGGCGCGTGTGTCAAAGGAGATGCCGAGAGCAGTGGGAGCTGCTGGTCCTGAGAACTGCCGTGAGATGCTTTAGGAGAGGGGGATGCTCAGCTGGAGTTCCTGGATGAGCTCTGTGGGGTTTTTTTCTTTTTTGTTTATAGCCTGAGAGTTAATTTATTCCTTGGTTTACTTACAGCAGGGGTGAGGATGTGTATGCAGAGTAGCAAATCCATTAAGAGACTTGATAGATGGAGGAGCTAGCGCTTCTGTGGTACTAGAGACAGTAAAAACAGCAGGAGCTGTTCCAAGGATGCGATACGATGCGCTGCTGTGGGAGTGCCTGCGCAGCAAGGGCTCGCTCGGGAGCATACTTACGGGGCCCTCACCATGAGCTGTTGTGTTGGGAGCCATGTATGTGGCAGGCAACACTGCTGTGCTTCAAGGGTGGCCTCTGTCAGCTGAAGGCTTCTGGTGCCCCTGTGGCTCTCATGGGGTTTCTAGTCCTTTACTTTTAAGGAACAAACTCCTAGACACTCACTCATGGCACTAGAGATTTCTTCCTTTCTTACCATAGAGCAACTAAAATGGTCGAGCTCGCTCTGGTTTCACAAGGGCCACGCTAACTCAGCACTGTACCTGTCTAAATGCAAATTTATTGGGTGCAAGACCCAGATCTATTTTATGCAGATCAGACTCCTGCCCGGTTCCCTGTGAATCGGCCCAGCTGCGTGTTGCTTGATACCAGGCACCCCTCACAGCATGGTTCCTGTGCTGGCCGGGTTCTGCACTCACAGCCAGGAGCTGCACACAACTGGATGGAGCTGCTGGATGCCACGCTTGGTTAAACAGGCATTAGATCTGATGAGATACATTGAGGAGAGAACATCTCTGACTCTTTGAAAGGCTTGCTTTGCCTTTCCAGGAAGGGAGCCAGTTTCCACACGTCACCCTGTGCAGCTTTACCGTCTCAGGATGGTGCGATGGCCGCTGGAGTGGGATATGGTAGATCGAGGGATTTCAGGATCAGACCTCATGAAGATGTCTAACAGGGGCACATGGTTTTGGGTGCGCCTCAGAATGGAACCAGTAGGACTGCAAGGGGGATATCAGGCCCTGGAAACAGCCTCCGCCAACTGTCCTGCTCGTGTGGGAGAGACAATGCAAATTCAGTGATGCATATGCACGTTTCTGCTTTAAGGTAGTAGAGGCCTTCCTTGTGAAGGGGAAGGAAAACCATACAGGACACTGAGATGCTGGCAATATTGGTCTCTAGCTGCCTAGGGATTCCTGGGATGCCTTGCTGGAGACGCTTGCATGCACTAGTTTTCTGAACATCCAGCCTTGTTCAGGGCAGCTTCGAAGCAAATGCTGGATAAGGAATATATGCCCCGCTGTGTGTGCTCTGGCAAGCCCAAATTTGCAGGCAAAGCTCCTGCAGTTAGAGGGAGTTTTCAGGAACTATCCTGGGAGTCAGGGTTTGGTCTAGCTAGATTCCCTGTGGTTATGGTAAAATATTTGATTTCCATTGGTTTTAAGGCTCAAGGTCAGACTCTACAAGGATGTCAGGGTTGTTGATTTGAATGAGAGAAGGAAATCTCACAAGAAGCATTCAACTGCAGCCAGCACTGCAGTTTCCCTCTCCTGCGAAGTCAGTGGGGTTTGCTCGTTTTGCCTGCTGTTAGAAAGATCTGAGGTCACCTTTGCTTACTCACCTGGCAGCAGGTCAAAGGAACAAGCTGCTCTTTCACAGGGTGCTTAAGCTCACACCCACATCCTTGAGAAGCACTGGACACCTCTCTCTGGAGAGCAGCTTTGCTGTGGGGTTCCCTTCACTTGGGACCTCTGGGCTGGAGAGTCAAGCTCGGAAAGTGGGAGACCTCTCTGTGCTTTCTGGCAGGGGGATGGCTCCAGAAGAGCTGGAAACTGAACAGTGTTTGGCCTTAAAGCCAATGGATGCTAGCAACAAATGCTCTCTCTGTCATCTTAGAGGGCAACCTTGGGCTCGGTCTGGAGTCTTGGCGGGTGATGTGTAGGGAGGTAAACCCTGGACCAGAGACTTCGGGCAGCCAAGAGCATTGCAGAGCTCTTGGAGCTCTGGCTCCCAAGGGAACAGTGGGGCCTCAAGGATTCCCCTCTTGTTGCCAGGAGCTGCGTTGCTCATCCTGGGGCAGGAGACCACTCTCCATCTCTGTAGCATCATCTAGTGGCGAAGGGCACGGTGAGACGCGTCAGCTCTGGCTATGCTGCTCTGCAGTGCTGTGAGTGTAGCCTGGGATAACACTTTCCACCTCTCTTCTTGCAGGGGGTTATGAGCGTTTCTCCTCAGAGTACCCTGAATTCTGTGCGAAAACTAAGTCCCTGAACAATGTGTCACCCCCTACCAGCGCTGAGCCCCTGGATTTGGGCTGCAGTTCCTGCGGGACCCCTCTTCATGACCAGGTATATCTAGAAGCCCAGTGCTCAGTTATTTTGACCGCTCCTTCCAACATTGCAACTTGGTCCTGCTGGAGTCTCTCTGCTCTCCGTCATCTGAGGTGTGCAGAGCCAGAGCCTTGCTCCTTCTCCTCTTGTGGCAGAAGATGGCAGTCCTCCTAATCCCAGGGTGTTTATGCTCCCTGGAAGTGGACAAGCCCAGATCCCATTAACCACACCTACCCATTCCTGAAGAGGGTAAAGAGGGGGAGGGCTGAAATGGGTTTTAACACCTCGGAGAAGCAGTCTGTGCTACTGCTTTTGAGAGCCCTGGCTCAGGTGCCAGGTTCCTGCACTGTCCAGGGCCTCCAAGCTATCTGGTTGTGTTTCCTGCCCACTGATCACCCCTGTATTGGTTGTGTTTCTCTGCAACAGGGCGGCCCTGTGGAAATCCTTCCCTTCCTCTACCTTGGCAGCGCCTACCATGCTGCCCGGCGGGACATGCTCGATGCACTGGGCATCACAGCCCTACTCCTCCGCCTGCCCCAACCACTTTGAGGGGCACTACCAGTACAAATGTATCCCTGTGGAGGATAACCACAAGGCTGACATCAGCTCCTGGTTCATGGAGGCAATCGAGTACATTGGTGAGTGCCTGTGCGGAGAAACTGTGTCTGTTTCGCTGGGAGGGGGGAGGTTCCTGCCTTAAAGACCTGGGGCCTTTGGCTCAGAGGGGGCTGGGGTCCATTGTTTGTCGTGCTGGCAGGAGGGAGGTCAGCCACCACCTGTGAGTTTGGCTTTGTTAGAAGGGTGTTGGTCTCATGTCTGATCCGTGTTGCCCTCCAGACTCGGTGAAGGAGTGTTGCGGCCGGGTCCTGGTCCACTGCCAGGCTGGTATCTCCCGCTCAGCCACCATCTGCTTGGCTTACCTGATGATGAAGAAGCGTGTCAAGTTGGAGGAGGCTTTTGAGTTCGTCAAGCAGCGCCGGAGTATCATCTCCCCTAACTTCAGCTTCATGGGGCAGCTGCTGCAGTTTGAGTCGCAGGTGTTGGCCACCTCATGCGCAGTAGAAGCTGTCAGCCCCTCGGGGACACTGCGGGAACGGGGCAAGGCCACCTCCACCCCCACCTCCCAGTTTGTCTTCAGCTTCCCAGTCTCTGTCGGTGTCCATGCTACTCCCAGCAGCCTCCCGTACCTGCACAGCCCCATCACCACATCACCCAGCTGTTAACTCAGGGGCTGAGGCCGGCCAGGCAGATGGTGCCAGGCGCGGAGGGGGCAGGTGGGCATGGAGCCCGCGACGTTAAGCAATAGTGCCGGACACTGCCATTCACCCTGGACTCAAATGTCTTTTTCGTAGAGAAATTTCTTACCTCATCTTGTCTTTGGTTTATTTTTTTTCTCTTTTTACGTTTTGAAAGCACGAAAAGTTGTAAAACCCATGAATCCTGACACTGTCCAGGCTCTTTGGGGGAGGGGGGGAAAAAAAAAGAAAGCATACTGGGTTTTCTCAAGTGCCTGGTCTTCATCTAGTTTCATCCCTATTTTATTGTCTTGTTTTTAAGAAACAGATACACCTCCTGTCCTCCTCCCATTTCTGCCCCTAGCTCATCTGGGTTGAAAAGGGAGGACACCCTCTTTTTATTGTGCAGCAGTCTTCCCCCTCACAGGAATCAACACGTGTGTGTGGTGGGTGTTGCTGACCTGAGCTGGTGGCAGTGGGTGACAAGCAAAGCTGCAGGCAGGAGCTGCGGTGGCACAGCCTCAGCCCTGCCCATGCCTGCAGAAGTGATGCAGGAGTTGTTGGTCTGAGCCTGGAAAACGCCTCATCTTCAATCCACTGGGAGCCTTATTTCCCACCCTGCCTCTCTCCTCCTCCCCAGTCCAATCCAACACAAGATGCCTGTGTGGCTGATGTACATATGTATGGTTTTGTTCCTTTTTTTTTTTTTTAGAAATTAACTTTTTATTTATTGTGTGAGGGAGGGAGAAAAATTGTTTGGAGAAAATAAAAATAAAACTGTTTTCAACAGTTGTGGCTGGTGCCGGTTTGTCCTAAGACCATGACAGAACAGCAGGCCGTTCAAACACTCGGCTTTCACAGAGCAACTGTTAAAAATGTATTTATTGAATTTTAAACTATTACAAGTATTGCAGATCAGACATTTAGCCAAGCACATTTATAGATCAAACTCAGTTGTTACAGAGATGTTGCCTAAAGTCCACCGTGTAGGTAGGCTGAGAACCTGCCCATCATCTTCGAGAGAGAGGGTGAAGGAGGAAATAAATAAACGATATCCCAGCTCCAGGTAATTGGCAACCAAGAGAGGAAACATACAGGGCTAGTTATGAAAATCAAGTTGCAAAACCAAACCAAAACAAAAAAGTAAAACCTCAACTCTCATGTTCGGGTTAGCAGGGAAAGTAATTAGGAATGGAGGTACACAAGCTTACAGGATGGTGGCACAGAAAAATCCCCATTTCAGTTTCCAAAGCAGAAGCAAGTTCTGCAAATGTTAAGAAGAAAGTGTCAAAATTACCTCATAATATGGAGACTCTTAATCAAACTACATTAGCAATTCATGGGACCAACACTAAAACTTGCCACCAGCAGGTTCAGTAAGACAGAAATAGATATATCAAAACCAGTCAGGTAATACGACATGACAGGCATCTGTGTTTGTGTAATGGGAAATGCATCTATTTCTCATGTTCCCTGCGGATTCATGGGCCCGCGCACCTCGCTTCAGAAATTTTAACACACATACGCTGTCCGCTGCGCTGCCACTCCAGCTCTTCACCCCTGTCCCGCCTCTCTCCTGCAGATCAGGAGAGTGTGCAGCTCGGCTTAAAGTGATCAAAGCACACGTTAGATGCATCTCCTTTTAGATTTCTGAGCTCAATTCTTCTCTGGCAAAGCAGCAGTGAAAGGGAAAAATCCCATTAAAAATAAATTCACACATTTTCTGACCTTCAGCTAACTCAGTCTCATATACCACATGCCTCTTCTGTGTCTGCTGTCCACCAAAGCTGGCAGTGCAGAATATTTTGAGGGGCTTTCTTTTTGCTTCAGCGTAGAATTTTATTTTGGGGTATTCCTGTTACCAGCAAGCAAAGTAAGAAAAGTTTGTAGGTGAAATAAATACCTGCCGTGTAACACAGTGGGATTCAATCACATCAAATGCAAACACTGAAAACAGAGGTTAGAAAAATACATCAGACCAATAGTGACAGTGAAACGGTGGAACTAGTACAAGAGGTTTCTAACAGTCTCTGTGGAGCTGGGATCAAAACAAATCAGCAGATAAAAATAAGGATGAGAAAATAAGATACACCTTATTAAGGTATTATACTCTGCTTTTAATCCTAACAGAAGTTTTGTTGACAGCGTTCAGACTGCAATGCCACTCTGCACCAGGTACCTAATTCATCTATCTCATGGAAACAATTTTGGCAACGGAGAGCAGAACCGTCCCTTCTTTGCTACGCGGTTAAGTCTCTTCTCGTTTTTGCCCATTAAAGGCTCTGTCGCAAACCACACAGACGTTTCAAAATGCTGCCTCGAAGGGACATGGACAAAAACCAACAGGCCTGAAAGACAACTGTCCCTTTCCCCAGCAAACACCATGTTCTATCCCAGTGGGAACAGCTCTGGAGGCAGTGAGAGGTGCCCAGGCTCCCAAGCCTATGGGACAGCTTAGCCCAGCGTGTTTTTGTTCCTACCGCGCCCTCCGCTGGTGACCCAATGCTACAAAAGGGCATCGCAGGGCCTCCCATGCCCTCCTCGGGAAGTCGAAAAACTTCATTTCTCAGGAGGCAGCAGCTGCCTGGCTACAGGGTTAGGCTATTTCTAAGGTCCCATTCTCTGCAATTAGGAGGCACCAAGTTAACTCCCTCAGCTGAAGCAGCAGCACCTGTACCGTAACAACCTGCCAAATGCAGCTCTGCCACCAAAACCACGAGCGGCTTTTTCACGGGTAACTTCCACACTGATGGGACAGACCCATCACGTGCCAGGAGAGGCGCGGGCTAACCCTGTGCAGGTTCCTGTGACAGAGGCATCATCAGGCCTGGGTGATGTGTCTGTGTCTGGCCACAAACAGGTATGAGAGCACAAGACAAAAACCACTGCAAAACAACTTCCTCACACAGCACCTTTACTCTGCACAGAACATCAGATACGTTAACACTGGCAGCTCAAAGATACTGGACAGTATTTTTATCCTCTAGAAGTTCAAGGCTGCAGAAGAAATCCAGACTAGCCATTAGTTCAATCAGCACACAGGAAACAACAAGCAAGAACAGAATATCTGGTGCGGGCTCCGTGGGGTTTCTGTTTTTAGGTTTGCTCTTGTGTTTGAAAGATGTAAAGCTTTTTAACTTCCACACCCACATTAACCATTTTGCTCACCTAAGCAGCACAACTGTTTTACCACTCAAAACTATGCCTAACTGGGGATGGTGAGCAACACTCGCTCTCAACACTATCTGAAATCCTAGCGTAGACAGGCACATCTCCCCACTCCATTATTAACTAAGTTAAAAACAAACCCCAAACTTAAATGTTGAATACAAAGTTTCAAAGCCTAGTGGTGATCTTCGCAATCCTAACACTACTGAACAAGTAGCCAAAATACAAGCACCCAATTTTATCAATGAAATTTGATTAAGAGGTCAACTAGGCTAGAGCCTGGCTTGGACTCAGAAGCTACATATTTAATCAGGTCACAAAATGAAGCCAGAACCATACATCCACTGCCAGCTCAAGAAAAATAAAACCCGATGTTCAAGATCTGTTGGAGTATTGCTATTTCTAAGGGTTTCTGTAAAGATACTACAAACAGATGATGTGCAGGTAGCCAGATGGCATCAAATGACTGATTTTACAGTGGGTGAAATCCTTGGTGAGGATAACTTGCTTCAACATTAACGTCTTAATGTTAAAAATGAAAATTCTGTCTTAATGCTGAAAGTGAAAAGCTCTTGAGGTTTAAGGTTGTTTTATCCAAATGTGTCAGCAAAATCCCACTTGTGGGTGGGGAGCACATATATATAAACTAAAAGCACATTATTCTGTTGTTTCCTTGCTTTAAGAGGGATAAAACCTGAATGCATGACCTACTGGATCAGAAGATACTAAGTAGTGCTGGTTGACAGGGAAATGTACAGCGTGCTGTGTTCAAATGAACTTTTTTTTTCTTCAGTTGGTACATGCTCAACACTGAAGCACATCTCATGGTATTGGTTGTTAAGAAAAAAAAAATTATGTAGCTCAGTTTTCAACTTTCTCTGAAGCTGTAAAAACAACACAAAACAGAAACAGGTTTCTATTTTTGTTAAATGCATATCCTCCATGAGGGGGACTTCTCAAATTGTTTGATGCTGTGCTATGCAATGCTTAAAAATAACTTTCTCCTACACAGTGAAATAACCTGGGAACTTGCAGGGGAGGGGATTAGAGCGAATAAATCCTAGCTTTGTTCTCTGGTATACCTGCAAACAAATCTGCTTGCCAACTGATGTTTTAAAAGTTCGTTCTCATCAAAATGTAAAAATCAGTATTTAAAAAAAATTATTATCTTTGTAAATCCCTTAAGCTCTTCAGCTGTGATGTTACACACAAAGATACAACACGGAACTGCTATAATACACTCTCCCTTACCGGTCCGAAACCCATTTCCTGGGTCTTATATTACAGGGGCACATGAACCAGGTATGCCTTCGTGTATGCAACCTCCTGACTTTTCATCTGCTACCTTCCAGCAAGCCTGTATGCCACTGGAACTGGAGAGCACTTCATAAACTGCATGTACTCAAGAGGAGTCTTCTAAAATGTTCTCTTAGAGATGCCAGCAGAGGGCATTGAAAAGTTCTTCCAAGCCCAAGAGCTGGTTTTACCCTTGTGAACACTTTTCCAAGGGCTTCCCCCAGAAAACTCAGACAAAGCAGCGAACCGACACGGCTTGCTTCCACTCTAAAGTTACACTCGCTCATATTATCCTTTGCTCAGAGGTGTGCAAAAAAACCCCTCCTATATTGAAGAACTGGACCTGGCCCCTTCTCAGATGAAATTCATATTGCATTATTAATGATTTTAGTCAAATTGACTTTGTGCAAAATATCTTTAAGAAGGTTCCGGCTCAACTTCAGAATACAAAAGGAAAATAAATAGTTGACTAGGAACTCTTGAAAACATAAAATAAATGGTGTAGGCTGAAAAGAAAATTATGGGCTTAATGCAATTTATCTGCAAATGAAGTAACTAGAATAGTAGTGTCTGAAATCTTAACATGTGAGATGGCACCGAAAGATTTCTGTTTGCACAATAATGTTCCCAAAGGCTAGATCAAAACAACATTATTTTACACGTGGTAACTGCAGAGACTAGGAGCCTGAGATATGTTATTAAAAGGCAGTCCCTTGTAAACTTTCCTCAAAAGGAACAGTAGCAGGTGAGTATGCAAGAGTTACTCATCTTACTCATCAAGACAGCAATGCTTTATAAAAGACATACAGCTTATTTCCCGGTTGTTAAGGATTTTATATGATACTGATTTTCTGAAACATATATCCATCCAGTCCAAGATTGAATTCACATCCTGCTTCACTGCTCTGTAGCTACTAGGTCTTTTGCTCTGCCGCTGTCGCTGTCTGTGAGGGAGCTTCTGGTTTCACAATCTGGTATGTAATGAGATATTCTGGGTATGCCTGGAAGTTAAGTCAAGAAAAAACAACAACATTGCTTTATGTAAGGGTAGGCTTAGCAAGTTCACATTTTGAATTTCACTGAACAGTGATCAGGAAGGACAGTGCATGTTTGTGGAGTGCAAAAGAAAAAGCAGATTTCAAACCCAGCCAGCACTAAGTGGGAACTTCTCAATGTAGTTAATGCCTTTGTTAATACACCAGTAGAAAGAAAGATGTTTGTTCCCTGAAGACACTGCCAGAAAATGTGTGTGCAAGCAGAATTCACCTGCTTGTTAGCTAATCCTACAGATCAGTCAGTGCCTGTAAGTTATTCCAAAATCTCAGATCACAGAATCACAGAATGTTAGGGGTTGGAAGGGACCTCAAAAGATCATCGAGTCCAGCCCCCCTGGCAGAGCAGGATCACCTACAGTAGATGGCACAGGAACATGTCCAGGCAAGTTTTGAATGTCTCCAGAGAAGGAGACTCCACAACCTCCCTGGGCAGCCTGTGCCAGGGCTCTGTCACCCTCACAGTGAAAAAGTTTTTCCTAATATTTTTGTGGAACCTCCTATGCTCCAGCTTGTATCCTGTCATTGCCCCTTGTCCTGTCATTGGATGTCGCTGAAAAGAGCCTGGCTCCATCCTCCTGACACTCCCCCTTGACATATTTATAAACATTTACTACCCCTCAGCCTCCTCTCCTCCAAACTAAAGAGATCCAGCTCCTTCAGCCTTTCCTCATAAGGGAGATGTTCCACTCCCTTCATCACCTTTGTGGCTCTGCACTGGACTCTCTCAAGCAGTTCCCTGTCTCTCTTGAGCTGAGGGGCCCAGAACTGGACACAATATTCCAGATGTGGACTCACCAGGGCAGAGCAGAGGGGCAGGAGGACCTCTCTCGATGACCAATGTAGTCTGACCCTAAAGTGCTCAGACTTACCACGTGCCCTGCAAGTGCCTTCACTGGCAGTAAAATACTTGGCACAGCCAAAGCACGTAACCCAGGCATCTGGGCTGGAGGACAGGGCCCCGTTCAGAGGAACTTAGATGAGAGGAGAACAGAAGGCTCATGAAATCCAGCAAGGATAAAGGCACTCAGGATGAACTAAGTCTGTGTAACACTGCAGGATGAGAAGCAGCTCTGCCAAAAGGTGCTGGGGGCCCTTGGGTGACACCAAGCTAAAGCACAGTCAACAGTGTGTCCTGGCAGCCATAAGGCTCCCAGCATCCCGTGGTACAACAGCAGCAGCACCGCCAGTCAGCTGAGTGTAGCAACAATTGCTGGACACTCAGTACTCACCAGACCTCATCCTACATGACTGCATGAAACTTTGGGGCCCTCCAGTAAAAGAAAGATGGCAACAAGCTGCAGCCAAGTTCAGCAAAGGGCCAGGAAGATAGTCAGGGGGACAGAGCACAGGATTAAACAAAAAAAGGCTGAGGGAGATGGGCTTGTTCAGTTCAGAAAAGGGGAGGCTTTGTGAGACCCGTAACCATCTTCCCTCCCGTCTGGAAGGCTACTGAGAAAACAGAGCCAGATTCTTTTCTGAGCTGTGCAGCAGGAGAAGGAGATTAATAAAACAGGAGAGGCTCCTATTGAATACAAAGAACATACTTTTTTGCTCTGCAGATAATTAAACAAAGGAACAAACTGCTGAGAGTCTGTGACAAACACTATTATCCAAGGCCTTCAAGATCTGCCTGGTCAAAGCAAGCCCTCAGCAATCTGGTCTGAATTCAGCATGAACAAAAGGCTGGCCTAGGTGACGTCCACAAGGTTCCCTCCAACCTGAACTTATTATACTTGGAGCAACCCAGAGTAGTAAACAAATCACTTTTCCCGAGTAATTGTCTAGTTGAGTTATTCATATTAAAAAATCACTTCCTGAAGATTGTTGTGCTACTTCAGCTGCCATTTAAGGGTTGTCTCTGGCAGACAGGGACACTGTCACTGCTGGGAATCTGAAGGTGAAAATCCCAGAATCTGCATTATCTACAAGAGTCGCAGAAACGCACATGTCCTTGTTACTGAAATAATGGCAGTAAAATGCAACAGAAGAACCAGCGCCTCCTGAGAGAAACTACAACTCTTAACAGACGCTGGCAGTGCTGCACAAGGAGAATGAGGCAACTCTGCGTGGTGTAAATCAGAGCAGCTCTGTGGAAAGGAGTAGCATTTGCTGGCTTGATACAGTTCACTGATTATTTCCACACTTAAATGTAAAAAATCTACCTGTTCTCCTCTATAGATAACATATTCAGCGTATGCGAGTCCATTCACGCTTGGCCTGCCAATAACAGAATGGTGCCCTGGAGGGGCATGAGCCATTTTCATTGTGCTGAACTGAAGAAAGGATTTTCCAAGGGTGACTCTGCAGAAGAGCATTTGTCTAAAAGAAAAAAAAAGAAAAAAAAAATCACTTTAGAAGTATCTTACTAGGAGTTGTATGCTTTCAGAATCATTTCAGACATTTCAGTTTATTTTGTTACAATTAAATTTCTCAAGGCTCTTTGGAGAAGCACTTTGAGAAATCAGTTCTAAGGGTCTATAAAACTTGTCACGCACACAAAAAGTATCTTTTCTGATACACAGAAGGGAAAACACAGACTTTGTTCAGCCCTCACATGGAGGCCCGTTCTAGTTCATTTTATATAAAGTTGTTAAAATCGATGCTGAAGCTCTCCCTGTATTCCTACCAGCAGGATAGGTACAGGTGTCAAAGTGCGAAAAGGACATTGATCTAGTCCGGTCCAAAACAGAGCTGTGATTAAGTCCTGCCCACTACCTCCAAAATTATCTGATCCACAGTACAACACTGTACTGCTGACCACCACTTTGCACTGCAGTTTTGTTCTGAGAGTTCCTGGAGTTTAATTGCTACTTTCCCCTGACTCTTCACTTTCAAACTTGCTGTTTCAAGCCTCTTTCCTGAGCCACAATTCACTTTGATTTATACTCACTGTATGCTTAGATGTAATTTTTGACCTTTCTGGGGGACTCGCTGCATTTATATCCTTTTTTGTTCAGCCTTGACAAATGGAAAAGCGCATTTTCACTGCCACGACCAAGCTCAAGTGGCTATTCCTTCCCTGCAACTCATCATGTGCCGGGATCATGAAAATCAGGACAGTCAGAATTATGTACAGGGAACTCTGCTGGACTCATACCTGTGGCAGATATAACAGGATCTGTCTTTGTGTGTGGGACAGCCTGTTCCTCCCCCTATCCCATAGACATACTGGTTGCTTTTTGAGGAGTTCTCGGCAAAGTAAATTCCAGCTCCAAACATTCCTCCGATGTATGCATGCCTTTCATCAAATCCTTTGTGAATGATAGCATTAATAAAAGGAGACCCTGCAAATGACACAAACCGATATGTTATGATACATACTTGCTAAGCTCTATAGTAATACAGGACACTATGTCAAGAGGAGTTTGTCTGCCTCAAACAGATCATTAAAAACCAGAAAGTGTGTTCAATCAGCTGGAAGGGGGCGATACCCAGCAGGATGCAGTGATGTGTGGGATTTACCGTTACATACCACAATCCCATGTGTGACTCATATTTCTTACTCATTTCACAGATGTCATCAGATGGCTTTCCCCCCCACTCACATTTCAGTGCAATTTATCTTGTCAATGCACACCTTACCCAGCAGTCAGTACCAGTTAAGGTGGGGCAAGATGTCAGGACAATCAAACCCCAAACCAATTTCCTATGCAGAATCACAGCAGGATGCAGAACAGAAGGACCCTCAGGCAACTGCCACTTGTAGGCATTTCTGGATGCTTCTAGAGAACACCTTGCTGAAACTCACGGTTGGTTTTGATTCCTTTCTCTGATAGTTGCCTGAAGCACCAAGGTAAGATGCTTTTCCCACGTGCTACTCCTCCATTTTAGAAAATTACTTGTCTTCCTCACAGCAATGTAACATGCTTCCAGCAGCTTTACTAGAAATGACTAAGATATGGCTTAGCAATTTTTTTTCCTTTTTAGCAAAAATATAAATGTGATTTTTATCTAGTGTAGCTTTTTAAACCGCAGTAACCACACAGACTAACTCCACTAGTCCCATGCCGGAGCGCTTCTAGTGTAGAAGTACAATTACTGTACAGGATGGTGACGCAGCAACATTAACATTGCCTGTGGTCCTTGTGAGCTTTTTTTGTTGTTATTAAATACCAGCACGTACAAACAGAGATCACGTCCTTACCATGAAACAACATGCGTTCATTGTGATGATTATGATTCTCCTCCGAGACCTCCTTCTGTCGGTGACAGAATCTCTCACGCAACTTCTTGTTCACAACTTTTTGAATCTGCAGTGGTACAACAGATCCAACCACACTTGAATTGGAATTGAAATGTGATACAGTTTCACAGAGTTTGCTTGAATTTGATGGGGGAAACTAAGAGTAAGACACATGACGAACGGAGTATAAAGAAACAGCATGGCTGTTTTGCACACAAGGCTCAAGTCTCTCAAACAAGTCAGTAGCAGATGGTTAAAACTATTGTGAAATCGAAGCTTAAGTTTTCAGCTTTTTGGAAGACTTTCAGGCTTCTTCTCTCTGAGCTTGTAATACCACCAAGAACTACAAACCCTCTGAAACTCCTTCTCTCTCTGCTTTGACATCTGCTGAACAACCTGGGCTAGCTTTTTGGAGCTTGCTGTCTCGTTTAGGTTGAATTTTTATGAAAAAAAACTACTTCTGAGGAATGAAATTAGGAGATGTGCTGTTTAATCTGTCTTGAAGTATTGTTCCAGTCACAGGCTCTAATACCACAGTGATTTATAAGGAAGAAATTCTTCACCATGAGAGTGGTGAAGCGCTGGAACAGGTTGCCCAAAGAGGCTGTAGATGCCCCATCCCTGGAATTGTTCATGGCCAGGTTGGATGGGGCTTTGAGCACCTTGGTCTAATGGGAGAGAGATGTCCCTGCCCACAGCAGAGGGGGTGGAACTAGATGATCGTCAAGGTCCCTTCTGACCTTAACCATTCTATGATTCTATGATGATTTCTGCAAAGGACTTCACCTTTGGTTGGGAGCAGGACAGAAGTGGAGTTTGCTTCAGGATGTTATGATCTACTGGGCCAAGTTGCAAAGGCTTTGCACAGTCTCACTTTTCAGATAGCTATGCAGAGCAGGGGTTTTCTGGAGCTCAGGAATTGAGTTTGGTTCTGATTTCTTCTACTTCCTCCTTCCCCCCAAAAAGGAACCAGAAAGCATACTTTATCTGAGAAAGACAACACCCCATTTTCTGACATGCCAGGGCTTGTAAAATGTATTTTTCTAGTTGACAGGAAGAAAGAAAAAGGTGTCAAGATCCAAAGTAGCATAGGGAGATAGAAATTCCTAACAAAAAGTCATGGTCATCCTTTCCCCTTCCAAAAAAATCTCCTTAAAAAAGGCACAAAAGAATACACTGAGAAGAAAAAAATCTGTGCTGCAAAGTCAAATACAGAAGTTATAGATCTCTGAAATTAAATCACGCTGTGAAGCATTAAGTCAGGCTCTTCACCACTTCTGTCTTCAATATCAGATCTTCAGACTTCTTTTAAGAGCTCAAGTGGATACTTCTCACTCGTTCCATGTGCAGAGCACACGATCAATCTAATTTTAGCATTTAGCACTTGCTTTAACTCTGCTCCTGAATATTATTTCAACAAAGAACTTGACGTACAAGAGGGTGATCCATTAAACCAATTCTGCCTTCTTGCCTAAGTACCGACTTATTTTACCACATAGAATTAAGAGGTTTTGAAACTTACCCTGATGACATTGTACCTGTTGAAGATCCCACCAGCATTTCCACCATCCCGATGCTCCCGGATTGTACTCTGCATCTGCATAAATGAACACAACTGAATGTTCAGCACACAAAGCTTGCTAGCAAGGCAAAGTATTGAAAATTAATTTAAAGGTGTCAAAAAACCCCACAATTCAATTTCAAACTGAGCTACACCCTTATTTCTCAGGCACCCAACACACTATGTGGTTCTACAGAGAAGGTCGATGATGCAATTACCCAACCTTGCAATGAAAATCCACATAGGAAAAAGAACAGTGGCACTTGCTATCAAATTAGAAAACCTACTTTAGATCAGAAAAAAACTGCAATCTTTGAAAATGAATATACAAGAAGATCATTTTGATTAATAACAATTGTATTTCTAATGAATACAGTTTGTATTTCTTAGTGATAGCAAAATGCCTGCACTGTAAACTTTCCTATGCCATTGGCAGCCCCTGAGAATTTCAACAGTTTCATCAAGTCTTTTCCAGAGGTCTTTATAGCTACAGCAACAAGATATAGTAACAGCTTAAATAAATATCCCAATTTCCTATAGCAGACAAGTAATTCTTTCCATCAGAAAAGTTTGTACAAAAGATCTGCACAAACTCCACTTTACAGAGTTACTAATAAAAAAAATATTCCAGGGTAAACTGGCAGCAATCCCGAATATTTAGATTCTTCAAAAGACTCTAAACACTTCCATGCTACAGTGTATGAACACTAACAAACAGCAAATGAACAGTAAAATGAAGTTTCCTCCAAACACAGAAGTCTCTTCTCTGTTACGATTTTTCTTTCAAAATTGTATCTGCTTGAAGTTTACTTAAATAAAAGAGTGCGTGTGTGTGGGAAGCAACGTTACAGTCAACTCTCAATTATCCAAGAGCTGTTTATTTGGGTTACAGATTAACTAAGCCAAGACAAGACAAGACAAGAGAAAACAAACTGGTTCACATGCAGAAATAGCCTGAGCACAGGGAATGCCTATAGACTTGCAAGACCTTGATCCCTTGGGTTTTCTCTCACATTCTTTGATTTTCACAGATCTACCTGCCTCCAGAAAGCTGTGGAAACCCTTGCTATGAGATAACAACCAAAACACAACAAAAAAAAAAAAGGCAAAATTGTGATAACACTAAGCAAGTGAAAAGACCACTTACTAAAAAAACCTGGCAGGACACAGCAAAATAATTTCCACCAGTGCTCTATATAAAAAGACAGATTAAGAGCCCTAAACTTCATGTCAGATCTATGCAATGCATACAGTAAACCATATTTTATCTCTTTCAATATGCATTGCACGTTTCAGCTCTGAGGGGTTATAAGTGAAAAGAGTAATATGCTGCCAGCGGAGCATTAAAAAAGGTACTTGCAATACCTCCTCTTCCACAGACTGATACTCCTTATCATCAGGAGCAAGGTCGAGGAGAATGGTCCCCTGACTCACGCAGTGGAAAGTCAGATAAGGATTGGTGCCTGCAAAGAGAAGGAAATAAATACAAATCAACAGCAGAAAACAATACCAGCTGTATTTGTATCCACCATCATCATTATTCTTCCTAAATAACTCCTGTACAGCAGAAAATGCAAAATAAACACAAGGCAGAAACACAACCTTGAAAAGAAAGTGCTTTTGTTAGCAGTAGAGGCTTTAAAAGAGAGAAGGAAAATGCACGTGGGACATAATTGCATTTTACTGTTTCTGCTTTCAAGAGAAGCATCTCAGAAGTGTGAGGCATCAGGTCCACTTTTCAGGATACAACTGGCCTGTGGACAGGTACATAAGGCAAATCAAACCATTCAGTCCTCTGTCTCCTCAATATATTCTTTTCTGGTCACAACCCACAGAACTACCAGGTCTGTCAGCATCTACATCTTTCTGACTTCTGAATTCTTTCAAGTCCTGGGGACAATGCTGACATTTACAGAAGGTGACTTCTGGAGGTCTGTTGTACGCCACACTTAGACTAACCAGTAAAAGCGTCGTATTTACCTTGCTGCCCTCCTAGAAGTCTCTCCACACCTTTTATTAATTTGTGGCGGTGTCCGTACGCATTGATCCCAATTTCTTTAAGCTCCTCATGCCCCATGTCTGCCAACACATCCAGGGTTATCTGGAAAGGCAAGACCACAAAAATCACTTGCCAAACCTGGTGCGATTCCCACAGCTGAAGACCCACCAGTTCAAAAATGAAATGTATTCATGGTGCAAAGAAGAGGGTATATATATTTTCTGTTTGGCTGCACTTCTAACTGCTGCCACCTCCTGGCAAGCCTCTCCCTATCACAAGACCATACCAAGCCTGAAGCTGTGCAGAACTTTTACTTCTCTTACAGCAATTAACAAGGGCTGGTTCTCACAGGAGGTTCTCCAAACCATTCTGACTTATGTAGAAGGAGAATGCATCAAAAATCTGGGACAAACCTGGGAATATTTTTGATGCAAAGTTTCATGTTGTTGCACAATTAATTATTTTCACTACACAAACGGAAATGAATATTCTCTAAACTTAAATGTTAGGTGTGCTTCATATCAGCATTATTATTGTGGGTGCTGTTACCATGTATATGTATCCTCATGCACACCTGCACGGGTATCAAACCAGTAAGTGAGCTGTGCTAAGTTACGCTCAACTATTCCGCTATTTCTGGAAATAACATTGTGAGGCCACATACAACTACACACTGGGTCGCAATACATGAATACATCTCCATTTGATCAAGGTTTTAGACCTCAAGGTCACGGAGATTATTAGTGGAAGCAGAAAGGTAATTAAAAATTATGTCAAACATTTTTTTAAAGAGCAGAAAATAAAGGTTAAATAAAACATACACTTTCATTACTATAAAGTAACTGTGCACTGAGGCGATTCTGTGAAAATGCAGAAAGATTTCACCTGAAGGAAATAATTATATAAATTCTACTTCCAAATTTACACATTAAACTAGAATGGCAAGCTCAGCAAATAATGGGAAATCATACAACTCGATTCAAAAGAAGTTGTAATGTTAGCACAACTGAACTCTGTCCACCACAAATTGAGTATCATTAATTCAAAAGAAAGCAACTCAAGCATGAATTAATAGCTACAATGAACATCTGTCCATCTGAGCAGAAAACAACCCTACTGGGACTGCTGTGGAAAAGCAACTCAAGACATTCATCATGTGCAGCAGAACATTAAAATAATACAGAAGAAACCCAAATACTATGAAGCATCAGGAGGCCTCTAGAGCCAGGGTGAAAATGTACACATGAAGGTACTGCAGTGCTTGAAAAAAGCAGCTTAAAACCATCAACTTAAGGAAGATAAGCTTATTTTCACTAGAAAGAAACTTAAAAGAGGAGCTAAATTGTTTAAAAATGATGAAAGACTATAGTGAATCTGGTTTGCACTATTAAATCTTATTACCTGGGAAAGATCTTAAAAACAGGTTAGGAGTTAAGAAATCAAAACCAGTATAGTAACAGGAAGGTGTGAGAAATAAAGAAATGTGAGTAGGATATAGTTTGGTTTGAGGTTGGTTTGCTTCTTAATGGAAGCAGTTAAGAGTTAAGTGAAGGAGCTTATGCTGCATATATAAGAAGGGAAAAGAATATATATGCATCTTAACTTTGGGGAGATACCTCCAGTACCATTGCATGGAAGCAGGTGGAACTTCTTCTGTAAGCAACACATCACACATTTCAAACATTTGTTTTCTGACCACAGCATAGTAAGAAAACAGTCAGCAGTAAGACAGGGCTCCCACAGAGATGTAGCCAGGTTTCAAAACATGTACAGGTACCCCATGGGCGTCAATCGCTTCTCCCACATAACAAGTGACAGAATAAGAGGAAAAGGACCTCAAGTTGCGCCAGGCAAGGGTTAGATAGGACATTAGGAGAAATTCCTTCACTGAAAGGGTTGTCAAGCATTGAAAAAGGCTGCCCAGGGAAGCAGTGGAGTCACCATTCCTAGAGGTATTTACAAGACATGTAGATGCAGCACTTAGGGACACGATTTAGTGGCGCACTTGGCAGCCCTAGGTTAATGGCTGGACCTGATGATCTTAACGGTCTTTTCCAACCTAAATGATTCTATGATTCTATTAAAAGTCTACATATATATTAGATGTATTTCTGCTCTAAAATGAAATGTAAGCTTGAGAAATTGTTTCATTAACGATATTATTTTTCTATATTTTGAATTATTGATAAATCTGCATGTTTTTTTTCCCTCCATGTCTCAAATCCATTTGAAATTTGTCAGCCCTGGAAAACTCAGTTAATGCTATACTCCTAACCTATTCGGAAACACAGCTTTTGCATTCTTTCAGCATAGCTATGCCCTGGTAAATTGCATTATTTCAGCACATATCATAGCATATTATGAAGCGCTTCCTAGATCTAAGAAAAGTGTCATATGCAGCACTACAGGTAGCGAAAGGCTTGTTTGGATATCAAGGCTGCTGAAGGGCAAGTGCTGGTGACATTCCAGCCTAACTGTGTTACAGCCATCATATTCAAATTCCACAAGGTCCGATGTAACTCTCAGAATACAAGACAAATTGGCAGTCACCATGTATGTATAAGAAAGTAAAAGACACTGGATATCTGAATCAACCAACAAAAGAGATTTTCACAGGTCTCTCAATTTCACTACAGAGTATCTGGCAACTCCTTTGCAGTTTTCTTGGACATACGTGTTTTTCTGTAGATGTGAAGCTGGAGTTCTTTGCCTCCTTTTTCAGTTACAGAAGGAAAATGTCACTCAAATGTACTAGGTTAGTCCATCTTTTAAACATGCATACAGAGATGAGGCTTGCAACTTACTTGTTCTGTCTCAAAGATGTCCCGAAGGTGTTCAAGACCCAGGCTTTTTAGGAACTGAGTAATGTTCATGTCGAGACCAGAAACTATAAGAGAAGAAATAAACCATTATATCCCATGCACCTGAACTTATTAAAAAACCCCTCAAAACACAATCCCCCCTAAACCTTAAAAATAAAAATCAAGCAATACCACTGATTCTCTCAAAATTCCAAATTCTGGTTCATCTTACAATCAATTTATATATGTCTATAATAAACAATCCACTTCCACTGTGTGAAAACTCAGTGCAAAGCTCATCACTGTTCCCTCCTCCGAACAAACTACTAAAAATTACAAGTGATCTGTCAAAACAGGGGCTCATATTGTAAAGAGAAAGAAAGAAAAGGTGGGTATATTTTTGCTATTTAATGACCTAGATGCTGACATATAGCATGCACTGCAGGTACTAATAAAAGGGTTTAAAAAGCCTTAGTGAAATCCCCCAGCCATCACAATCATAATTCCTTCATCAAAATAATTCTCATTCGGTTTTCTGTATAAAATCAACAATGAACATCTGGGCACCTAATCACCTCTGCCTTTGTATTCAGACCTGATCACTGATGGCAAACATAGCTGAACAGCCAGCTATGCTCCTGGCAGAGCACAGGAAAGAAAGCAAGCATCATGCACTTTAAAATCCAGAACAAGCTCAAGCTAAACAGTATTTTCTGGCTTTTCAGCTAAGGTAAGGCCTATTGTGATACTAAGCTACTGTACTTCTGGCAACGTAAACTTGTCCAGCAGCAAATGCACCTTCTCCTTCCTTCCTTTCAGTTCCTGCTGCTCCATCACCAGCATTCGATGCCCCTCCTACGGCTAGTTCGGCCAGTGGCCCAGTGAGATTATCTATACTGCTGGCAGCGGAGAGGCAGGACGGCGTCGATGCTGGGGAGATCAGGGAGGCACTAACAACAGTAGCTTGAGGCTTAAAGCATGTAGGCAAAGCTTCTGGAGGCATCGCATCTATCAGCAAGGCTCGGATATCATCAGCCTGAAAAACAGAAAGAAATTCTGTTATCACCAGTCACTAGTCTGCAAAAAAAAAAATTATTTGAATTTATTTTAATTACTTGCTCTCTGTTCCCCCATTAAAAAGAAAATTGCCAGCTTTTACAACATGGGAATTCACGGTTGCAAGAACATTCATTCTGATTCACTGCTCAGACATAGGTGAATCAGGTTCTCCTCAAATTCTAAAGGTATGTGAAAGAAGGCACATCTAATTTCCTTTCTGGAAAAAGTACTATATAGGTGTTAAAACCAGGCAAAGCAATGCAGCAACTTTATCCGAAATGCTTCACAACCTAGGCCAGGCAACGTCACCTCTTAATTTCTCTGTCAGGCTCAGCTTCTGGTGAAGCATTTTGCACTAGATCAAGGTTTCAGTGGAAAGATTCTACCACTGCCTTTGCTATAATCACATTTTATAGTGTTATAACAGAAAAGACAGGAGCTACCAAAGAAGTACGAACTTAGTTAACAACTGGATTTAGCCTTTGTTGACGAAATTAAGCAGGACTCGCATCTTCAAGAATTTCCTCCTTGTATGTTCTTGTAGAATATGACGAAGACATCCTTATTTTCCCCCCAGAGAAATGACACAGTTTTTGTATCTCTCACCACAAAGCAAGTTTACTAGAGCTCAGATTATTCTGGAGGATATTTCTTGAACTCTCCATGAATCAATCGATGGCCTTAGAAGACACTCACACTATACCCAGCACAGTAACCAGTTTGGTTGCATTATCTATTCCAACAAGACCGGTTAACCTGGGACACACATGTTCAGGTAAACTTCCTAGGATTTTTAACCAGCCACCACTGCCACAACTAACAGAGCTTCTGGATGCCAGTTTTAGAAAAAATTTGAGAGCCACCTGCAAATCTTAGAATATTATTTTGTAGTTAACAAAAAAGAACTGAGGTAATACGAAGCCATTGAGCATAATCACCCTTTAAACGATCTCATTCCTCTAAAGGCCCATCTGATTTTCCTCCTAGGTTCAAAGGAATAATCACCAACAGTATACGGATTGATCACCATTGAGGACATTTCAGACAGGTTATTTCTGGCGATGAGAAGATCGACGCCACTAGTGAATCCTTCAGCAAACCTTAAATCGCAAGCCACATTAAAATCTCAGCCAGAGGAAAAAGCCTGGACCTATGGGTAAGAAGTCACAAACAAGCACCTCGGAGATGCTCATCTCCCTCTACCTCAGCACAGTGAAAGCTGAGAGCTCCTGATGTCATGGAGCTGCAGAAAGCCGCTTAACACCCAGAGCAAACTCTCCTGAGCAGTGTGTGGCTGGCATGCTGACATGAACTTACTGTTGCCAGGTCTAGTGGTGTCTGACCCTCTTGATTCTTCATGGTTGGATCTGCCCCGTGAGCCAAGAGCAGAGCACAGAGCTGCGTCCTTCCCTTTTGTGCAGCTTCATGCAATGGTGTGAACGCCCATTTATCTGTTGCATTTACGCATGTATTGTATTTGATCAACAGCGCCGCTATATCCACATGCTGGAAAACACAAAACCGTCTTAATCAACACGACACCAGTAAAACATGTATTTCCTTTTTCATGCTGGAAGCAATGGTGCTTAGAGACCCCTATAATTCCTCTTTCCTTTAAGTGCTTCTTTGTAGCAGCACACCTTGTGTAGCAACAGGATATGAGGAAACATTTTTAAATTAGAGCAGGGTAGATTTAGACTAGATATCAGGAAGAAGTTCTTTACTATGATGGTGGTAAAACACTGGAACATGTTGCCGAGGGATGTGGTGGCGGCCTCGTCTCTAGAGGCATTCAAGGTCAGCCTTGATGAGGCTCTGAGCAACCTGATCTAGTTAAAGATGTCTCTGCTCACTGCAGATTCTTTAGATACTATTTCATAATGCAGCTCCATCGTCATCTTTACCTGTGCACTACTACACCAACCACTAGCACATGTGTAATTTGGATCAGGCATACAATTATATTTCTGCCAAATCACCCCAAGTACATAGCTTGAAGCTTGTGTCAGCTGCAGAAGCAGACACGATACTTGATCTAGTATAAAACCAATAGAATTAACTGTCAGAATATTTGTAGACAAATTTGAACTGGCAACACAAATTTACAGGAGTGCAACATTAGTGATACAGAAGCTCTAAAGATCGATGTGTTGTACTGCTGAGCCACCACTTAAATGTCTGTATACAGAAGTCTTTGTTGTACTTATTTCGTTCTTGCAAGACTTTGAATCAGTCTGTAACAGCACAAATTCATTCTGTCTCAAATCATATTTTATAAGACAACTGTAATTGATACAACACATTATAAGTGTAATAAGGGACAACTGTTTTACATGGGCTATAAAGGTAATGATCTTATAACCCTATGTTTCCATCAATATCCCATGCTTTGAGACCCTGAAATTAAAATAAGAGAACAGAAAACTGGCAAATAACTTTTCGGCTGCCTCTGACCAGTAAAATTACTTGTGCAATACAGCTAAGAAATAAAAAAGCAGGTAGTCAAAATGAGTAGTAGGAGCAGGAAACGCTGAAATTGTAAGCAGAAGCGCAGACTTGCCAATGGATTTCATATTTCTTTTCAATGGCAATTGACTCTCGGCAGCTCTTGTAAAAGGGCTTGCTCTCTGAATAAGCAGGGTGTGCAAAGATTGCCAACCTTATCATTCCTCCCTGCCAAACTTTTAAAGCAATTGTCACTCCTGTGACTCTTCTGCCACATGAAACCCCACTGAGGGACATGCAGTATGAAGTGCTGGGTGGGAGAACTGAAGATACTTCATAGAATCATAGAACAATTCAGGT